GTGGTCATCTTCGGGGTGGGAGAGAAGGTCTGAAAGTAGTCAACTCCCTGCCGCTGACTGAAGCCTCGAGCCACGTAACGCGCCTTGAAGACAGGCGAAGAACCCGGCGGCCGCTTCACCCTGGAAATCCAAATGCCACTGACGATGTTCGCCCCAGGTGGGGGAACCTCGTCGACGTAGGTGCCTGTGGACTTCTAGGAAGCCATCTCTGCGTCCATGGCTGACTGCCACTGAGAGGAGTAGGGACCCTCGATCGCCTCAGCGTACGATCGAGGAGTCGGGATGTCTGGTGCATCCGGGTCTCCCTCAGGGGCAATGAGCTTGGACACGAGATGAGGCAAAGCAGCAGCAAAACACTGGAACTCCTCCTGCCTGTCCTCAAGGACGTCCGTGCTAAGAGCACACTCACCCCCGACGGACGGAGGACAGACAGACTCAGACTCAGCAACAAGACTAGCAGCGTAGTCTAGACGAGAGCAAGCAGCGAAGTCGACAAGCTCAGCAACTAGGGCAGACGCAGCAGTGGACTCAAAGGAAGGGTCAGTGACAATAGAAGCCAGGAGACGCGTGACGGAAGGACTGGCAGCACGAAGAGAGTCAGACTCCGGGTCAGCAAGAGTAGGAAGAGAGGACTCTGGAGGAGACGGCAACGGGACACGCAGAGGAGCAGTGGAAGGACGCAGTGCCATCTGGTGTGTGCGTGGGACCGCAGGAGGACGCGGACGCGCAGTACGACCACCAGTGCGAGCAGCACGAACAGGCGACGCAGGACGAGACGCAGGCTCACGACGCTCAACAAGATCTCCAGTAGGACCAGTGTAGGGAGAAGGAGCAGGCAGGGGGGGGGCGGGCTGTAACTGTGACTGCGGCTGGACAGGCGGTGGACACGCTAAGGGAGGGGCAGGACCAGTAGAAGGCGGAAGACCAAGAACCTGCTCAAGGAGCGGAACGAAGTACGGCCTCGGCCGCGCAGCGCCTTCAGAACCAGCAGGAAAAGCACCAGTACCCCCAGCGGCAGTACCAGTGTCAGCAGCACCGCCAGCGCCAACAGCGCCAACTCCAGCACCCTCAGACGCACCAGCGCCAGCAGAACCACCAGCGCGAGCAGAACCACCAGCGCCGACACTTCCAGCAGCTCCAGCTCTAGTAACTCTAGCAGCTCCAGCAGCACCAACTCCAGTAGGACCGGCAGCTCCAGTACCGCCAGCAGCTCCAGCAGTACCTCCAGCAGCACCCCCAGCCCCAGCAGCTCCAGTACCGCCAGTACGAGCACCTCCGGGACCAGCAGCAACAGTAGTACCTCCAGTTCTAGCAGCACGGCTCCAGCGCCGGGCCAACCACTCGCGCAGCTCCTGCGAAGAGAGCGGCTCCCGCCTCGACGAAGCACCGCGAGAGGTCACACGAGCAGACCCAGCACACCCAGGCTCCGCACCCCCAGGCTCAGAACCCCCAGGCTCAGCACCCCCAGACTCAGCACCCCCAGGCTCAGCACCTACAGACTCAGCACCCGTAGGCTCCGCACCCCTGGACTTAGCACCCCCAGGCTCCGCACCCCCAGACCCGGCACCCGCAGGCACAGCACCTCGAGCAGCACCAGAGTCAACAGCTACCTCGACAGGCTCGACTGCATCTACCTGGGACACACCAAACGGGGCACGACCCTGAGGGGGGAGGGGGTCTACCGGGGGAGGACCTGGCGCAAGGAAGAGCGGCGGTGGGGGGAGGGCTTAGTGCGGTAGGGGAAGAGACGGTAGTAAGGCACCGACTCTTCAAAGGTGACGTCCTGGGAGGACAGAATGCGGCGCGAGGTGGGGTGGTAAAACTGCCACCCAGGCGCGTCAGTGGGGAAGCCAAGGAAGACGCAGGGAACAGCACGGGGGGACAGCTTGTCCGCAGACAAGTCGCGGACAAACGCCCGAGATCCCCAGACCCGAAACGCAGACGCATCGCCAACCTTCCCCGTCCACCGCAAGGTGGGGGAGGTCTTAGGCAAGGAGACCCGGGGCTGAAGGTTGAGCTGATGCGCTGCGTACTGAACCGCTAACGGCCATAGAAAATGGGGGGCAGCCGCATGGATCATGGACGTACGAGCGACGTCCATGACCATGCCAATGCGGCGCTCAGCAATCCCATTTTTCTGTGGAGAGGCCGGAAGCGTGAAGGTTTGACAGATGCTCTGTGCACGACAGAAGGCTCCCACACGGGCAGAGGAAAACTCCCCGCCTCTGTCAGAGTGCAGACGCAGAACAGGAAAGTCCGAGCCGAAACTCTCTCAGAGCTGGAGACGAGCTGCGCGGATCCAGTCGATCAACACCTCAGTGACGTCACCCTTGCTGCGCAAGGGGAAGACTGTGGTGTAACGCGAGTAGTCGTCAACCACCAACAGGAAGTAACGCTCGTGCCCCTGTCCACGGACGCGGGCGGGGCCCCACACGTCCATGTGAAGAGTCTGCAGCGGAGCCTCTGTCGGAGGAAACTCGGAGGAGTGAGGGGCGGCGCGCTGTTGCCCCTCGACGCAGGGGACGCAGGTAGGGGCAGGCCCCGGAGGTAGGGGGGGAAGAGACCGGGGGAGACCAGAGACAAGGACACGGGAGGCTATGCCTCTGAGACGAGGCAGGGAGGGGTGACCAAGGCGGTGGTGCCAAAGGAGAGTCTGGTGGGACAGGAGACGACACGAGCAAGGAGCAGACTCAGGACCAGACCTGGACGCTGCAGCAAACACCTGACTCGGCACAGCTACCTGACCAGACTCAGCTGTCGGAGGAGACTCAGTAGTAAGTGTGTACAGGCTCGACCCCGGCCAACGGGTGAACGTGGCCAAGTGTCGGCCTGTCCGAGCACACGTGCACTGGGTCACCCGCTGACTCGCAGGAGTGAACTGGTCAACCCCCCTATCCTGTAGATCAGCTCCACTCACCAAGTTCGTAGAGAACGAGGGGAGATAGAGACGTGACAGGGTGCCAGAGGGGGCTGCCGGGCACGGTAAGACAGTGGAGAAGCTAGCAAGGACAGGACCTCCAGAGGGGTCCGCCAGGGAGACCGCAACCGTCCGACTAAGCGGCGTAAGCGTGGTGCGGTCTCAAAAGAAGGAGCGGGAAGCACCCGAGTCAAGGGTGAAGGTGTGTAAGGCCTGAGACGACGTGGTACCTGAGAGAGCAGACTCACCAGCACCTGGGGCAGCAGACGCACTAGCACCTAGAGCAGCAGCCTCACCAGCACCTAGAGCAGCAGACTGGATACCGGGGTCAGGCGGCACACACAGGTGACAGACTCCCTCGGCACTAGTAGACAGTGCATACATTGCAGTGAGAATAGCATCATAGTCAAGAGCAAAGATATCTACCCTCTGCCTAAGCAGCTCCACCCAGTCGGGGAGCTCAGCGTCGTTGCCAAACTCTGTACGCCAAGTGTCGCTCAGACGTGCGAAGCAGCGGGACTCTGTGTGACCACGCGTCCCGCAAGTCTGACCAGTCCGGACACCCGTGCTAATAACGTACGGGCAGCGAGCAGTACTGAGCGACCCTCCACTCTGAGCGTACCACTCACGAAGCTGCTGGGGTGAAAGAGTCTCGCGCGGACAACGCTGTGTCAACTTATATTTGTAACTGCCTGTAGCTGTAGTTAGTGTAGTTATTTAAACTTTGTGTGGTGGTGCACCTTATGTGTTTCCTTTGCTATATGTACTTCGAACCCTATAGTGAAGCACACATTCTCCACTTCTTCTCTTCCAACTCTCTCGATACCTCGCCTAGGAGAAACCTGCTCGACACTCTAGTTGGGCCTAGGCTACTAAGCCTAGGCCCTAGCTTAATCTACTCGTTCGTTCACCTTAATCTCTCGACATGTTATCTGAGCGAGTTACGTCCTGGCCTGTGGGCCCGCCCTACACTTCCGCTGCTAAGATTTTCCGGTCGCGCGCCTAGGGCGCGTGACGATTTTTCCTTGTCCCGCCCCCGGTTGGCGTGTGACGCCTTTTCTGCCCGTCGCGCGCCCCGTGGCACGCGACGGTGCCCTTAACCTGCCCATCGTGCGCCCCGTGGCACACGATGGTGCCCTGCTCGTCGTGCGCCCCGAGGCACACGATCGGGCCCTTTCTCTTATCCTACCCGTCGTGCGCCCCGTGGCACTGGCACGCGACGGGCCTTTCCGCCCCTGCTCTCCCTGAAGCCGCCCCTGATCCATCTGCGCCGACATCGTTTAGCCGCGCTGCGGCTTTCTTCCCGCCCACCCCCTTCCTCCTTTGTCTCCCTGCAGCCGTGGGGAGGAGGGTATGGGGGTGGCGGGTGTTGGAGTGTTGGGTCAACTCTCTCCCTTCCCCTCCTCCTTCTTTCAATCCCACCGCTGCAGCTGCCGCTGGGGTGGGAGGGTGTGAGGATGTGGGGGAGCAGGGGGAGTGGTACCGGGGTGGCGGGTGTGAGGCAACATGCAGCCGTCCCTCCACCTCTCCTCTCTTCCCCCCTTCTCTGCTGCTCTTGCAGCAGTGTGGGGGAGGGGAAGGAGGAGGGTGAGGAGATGGAGGGGGTAACTATTCAATGTTAGCCCGCCTGCATTACCTGCTGTTGCTTGCTTTTTATTATTTTGCATGTGTACACCTGCAGGTTGCATTCTGCACATACTCCTGCTGCAGGCAGTTATGGGGGAGTGTCAACTTATATTTGTAACTACCTGTAGCTGTAGTTAGTGTAGTTATTTAAACTTTGTGTGGTGGTGCACCTTATGTGTTTCCTTTGCTATATGTACTTCGAACCCTATAGTGAAGCACACATTCTCCACTTCTTCTCTTCCAACTCTCTCGATACCTCGCCTAGGAGAAACCTGCTCGACACTCTAGTTGGGCCTAGGCTACTAAGCCTAGGCCCTAGCTTAATCTACTCGTTCGTTCACCTAAATCTCTCGACACGCTGCTGCTGCACCGGGCCACTACAAGAAACTCCCGAACTACCCACTCCAGGACGACTCCCACTACTGCCACCCCGACAACCCCAACTGGTGTACCACTCATGAAGCTGTTGGGGGGTGAGGGACTCACGCGGGCGACGCTGGAGCTGCATCCTGCCACTACAAGCAGCTGCGGAACTACTCACTCCAGGACGACTCCCACTACGGCCACCCCGGCAACCCCAACTAGCGTACCACTCACGAAGCTGTTGGGGGTTGAGGGACTCACGCGGGCGACGCTGGAGCTGCATCTGGCCACGCCAGGAGCAGCAGTAGCAGTAGAAAGAGCAGCAGTAGTAAGAGCAGCAGTAACAGTAGTACGGGCAGGGCAGTGCTCACCAGTGGCGAGAAGGGCAGGCGGACGACGGCGGCAATGGCGATGCCGCTACCATTGTAGAGCGAGAGCTCCGCGGCAGCTGCAGGGGTGGCTGCTCCAGGGGCCGCTGCTGCAGTGGCGGCTGCTCCAGGGGCGGCTGCTGCAGTGGCGGCTGCTCCAGGGGCGGCTGCTGCAGTGGCGGCTGCTCCAAGGGCGGATGCTGCAGTGGCGGCTGCTCCAAGGGCGGCTGCTGCAGTGGCGGCTGCTCCACGGGCGGCTGCTGCAGTGGCGGCTGCTCCAAGGGCGGCTGCTGCAGGGGCGGCTGCTGCAGGGGCGGCTGCTCCAGGGGCGGCTGCTGCAGGGGCGGCTGCTCCAGGGGCGGCTGCTGCAGTGGCGGCTGCTCCAGGGGCGGCTCCTGCAGTGGCGGCTGCTCCAGGGGCGGCTGCTGCAGTGGCGGCTGCTCCAGGGGCGGCTGCTGCAGTGGCGGCTGCTCCAGGGGCGGCTGCTGCAGTGGCGGCTGCTCCAGGGGCGGCTGCTGCAGTGGCGGCTGCTCCAAGGGCGGCTGCTGCTGCTGGGCGGCTTGGCGGCTCGGCTGCCCGCTAGGGGCGGCGACGGGGCCGGGTAGGGGCGGCGACGGGGCCGCTAGGGGCGGCGACGGGGCCGCGTAGGGAGGGGAGCGGCGACGGGGCCGCTAGGGGCGGCGACGGGGCCGCGTAGGGGCGGCTACGAGGCCGCGTAGGGGCGGCAACGGGGCCGCGTAGGGAGGGGAGCGGCGACGGGGCCGCTAGGAGCGGCGACGGGGCCGCGTAGGGGCGGCGATGGGGCCCTGTAGGGGCGGCAACGGGGCCGCGTAGGGAGGTCAACGGCGACGGGGCCGCTAGGGGCGGCGACGGGGCCGCTAGGGGCGGCGACGGGGCCGCGTAGGGGCGGCGACGGGGCCGCGTAGGGGCGGCGACGGGGCTGCGTAGGGAGGGGTGGCTACGGGGCCGCTAGGGGCGGCGACGGGGCCGCTAGGGGCGGCGACGGGGCCGCGTAGGGGCGGCTACGGGGCCACGTAGGGAGGGGAGCGGCTACGGGGCCGCTAGGGGCGGCGACGGGGCCGCGTAGGGGCGGCGACGGGGCCGCGTAGGGGCGGCAACGGGGCCGCGTAGGGAGGTCAGCGGCGACGGGGCCGCTAGGGGCGGCGACGGGGCCGCTAGGGGCGGCGACGGGGCCGCGTAGGGGCGGCTACGGGGCCGAGTAGGGAGGGGAGCGGCTACGGGGCCGCTAGGGGCGGCGACGGGGCCGTGTAGGGGCGGCGACAGGGCCGCTAGGGGCGGCTACGGGGCCACGTAGGGGCGGCAACGGGGCCACGTAGGGAGGGAGGCGGCAACGGGGCCGCTAGGGGCGGCGACAGGGCCGCTAGGGGCGGCGACGGGGCCGCGTAGGGGCGGTGACGGGGCCGCTAGGGGCCGCGAGGGGCCCTGAAGGGCGGCTACGGGGCCGCTAGGGGTGGCGACGGGGCCGCTGAGGGTGGCGCGAGGTGCCGTGAGAGGGGCCTCTAAGAGAGGTCGACAGAAGAGCAGCCCACAAGGCGCGCCTCGGGCAGGAGCGACTGTCGCTCCGGTCAGAAAAAAAGTTTCAGTGGTAGGCCCAAAGAAGCGTTCCCACTAGAGAACCTACTCTATACCATGTGAAGAAATGGGGAATGAATGAACTATCAAGCAGGTGGGTACAAGTAGGAAAACCTATAAATTTTGTACCCCATATAGTCTACCCCACTACAGCCTACACAGACTACAGCATATTAAGTTTGACAGAGAGCGCGAAGGCGATGGGAGGGAGAGCGCGCAGTCGACGGGAGGGAGATCGCGAAGGCAACGGGGGAGAGAGCGCGAAGGCGACGGGAGGGAGAGCGAGCAGGCGATGGGAGGGGAGAGAAGAAAGGCGTTAGGAGGCGGGCATTTCAGGGAGAGAGCTAAAGTCGACGAGGACGACGATGGGAAAGGCGACAGGGAGAACTTGTCGACAGGAAGGGACGGGAGAGCGAGGGTGACGGGGAGGGAGGGAAGATAGAAGGCGACGGGGGGGGGGGGGGGGAGAGAGAGACCCGCGAAGGTGATGGGAGGGGAACGGACATCAGACGAAAGCGCGATAACGAAGGCGCGATACAGGAAACTAGCCCATGCGGAAAGGTAGCGAAAGTCTGTGGAGGGGAAATTCTTACGATACTATGCTACGCGACAGTCTTACGCATTCCTGGAGGGTCGAGTGCGATACCTACCTTGGCCACAAACACCTATTGTTGCCAGTTAAAATATGTTAGGAATATAACTAGTGACTTACGGATGGTGAGGAGGTGGTCATGAAACCCATTTCCAACTTGAAACCAGGGTTGGCCTGGCGACGGAAACCATCGCCAGGCAACCGTCGTGCAGGTGTAGCACGAAAACGTGCGACGAGGGAGATCCGGATGGAAAAACATTTTGGCGGGAACAGGACAGCACAAGATTGGCGAAAGCCAATCATTTATGTTCAAGCCCCTGCTCGTTTTCTTTGGAACGGTGCTCTATCGGCCCGTTCTCTGGAGCACCATTTCAAGTTGGGACAGGGTTCATTATTTTATATTCTGGTTTTAACCCCTAAGGACTCCTACAAATACATGAGTAAAGATATAAACCACAACAAACTTGAGTTTTCAAATATGAGAGCAAATGCTTTATTCACATACATTGCTTTGCAGCGAATGTCGAACAGCGGATATCTCGATAATTTGTTGGGCGCTGGCGAATGATGACCTGTTGCGATGTCAGGCAGATGGATGCGATTGCAATCTGTCGCTGCAATTTCATTCGTTGAAAAGTTCCGCGTTGCTGTGGCTCACTAATTCACCACTTTTTCTCTGCATTTTATACAGTCACATATAGGTACGACCCCAACAACAGGTTGTCTCATGGCCCTGTTTTCCACCCCTTTCTTTCATTAGCTGGAATGATTCCAATTCAGGGTTGAACATCCATCTGCTAATACTTAGATGATTCGCATATCAAAATACTACTAACAGTTGAATTGCCATATTTTTTTTGTGGTATTAGTTATATATTTTAGCACACGTGTTTAGTAAGCTCGGTCTTTGGAAAATTCCGAGAATATTATGGAGTAGTAGGCCCTAAGAGATTGGTATATGGTAAGCATGATATTTTAAAAATCCAAACAAAAACACAGAGAATTGTACTTTCGTTTTTTCCAAGGATAAGTTTTACTTATTACATTTTGAAGATCGTGCTTGCTCTAACTTTTGTTGGGAAGAGAGATAAGGCTTCAGGCTCGCATACACAGCACATTTTGGTCTATGGCTGACCAAGGGTGAATATAGAGGTTGAAGCTATCACAATGCATTGGATTATTTACTATGTTTCAGTCTCAACACGCGTAAACAAAAATAGCATTCATAACTCAGCGTGAATAACAAACTTTGCCTTGGAAAGCAAACAGTTTAGATAGATGTATATTAGCCCACACACAATAGAGCATGTCACCAATGTTTTCGTAATTGTTTTTTTTAGATTTTTCTTGTTGGACTGAGTCGTCTTACTTTGTACTTCGTGTGCCGTAGTTTTGTACTGTACTTCGATCTTGTAAGGCAAGCAAATTTGTCAAATTAGCAGCTTGCCTGCAATAGATCCCTCAATCACACACTGTAACGACGCATTCTTGCCGTTGACATCTTTCCACGTCGCAAAGCCATCTATTTCATATCTTTCATTGGTTGTCACCAGAAATCCCAGATCTTTTCCTTCTAGAGCATTCACTGTGCGTTTGTCGGGTAGTCAGATTTTCCAGCCTGTCTTCCCTTCCCTTCCCTTTCCCTAGACTGAGGAAGAAAACATTTCAAATGAGCTCTTTGCTAAGTGGCAGGTGAAAACCCCAGGTTAGCGTAGTCGGCGTGGCGTTCTTGGAAAGCCCTCGCATGCTCTGAATTGGCCGGGAGACGAGTGATTACGGGGGAGTCGACGTGGCAAGATTCCAGCAAACCACAACAGAATTGACGACTTGGAGGGAGGCATGGAAAGCCAACGAGTCAACAAAACCATTCCACTCAACCCTTCCACCAACAAAGCCAAGCCACACACATCTGCAGATGCTACTTGATGTGCGAATCCGCAAGTCATGCCTGGACGACTCCTTTCCTTCTCTCCTACAAACCCTGGTCACTGGCGTTCAACACACAACCATAGTCTTGAAAACATCAGTCGGAAATAATTTATTGAACCGTCGTTCTTGGTGGCAGTAGTAGCCCACCCTCAGCACTCATTGCATCTCTAAGTAAAGTAAACCTAGCCGCACAACATCGTCACAATGTTTACAGCCATTGCAGCACGAAATTCAAACAAGCGAGCAGGAGCAGTGTGCCTCGACGACATGGCTAGAATAGACCCGCCTACCCCCTTTTTCGTCGACCATTCATTCCGCTCCTCGCGCTCTTTCGCGACGATTGACACATCAGCAGCCCAGCGGCCGCTAGGACGACCCACAGACGCGCAACAGATCGTGCCGCAGGTCCAAGCCCCAGAAGGAGGTGACGGCGCCATGCTACCGATTCTATCCGTGGATCACGTGACAATACACTCGGAGACCTTATCAGGGAAGGTCGGGGAAGCCACGGAGCTTCTCTCTCCCGAAGGCCGCGCCGTGATGCCGTCCAAGAAATTTAAATTAGGGCCGGGCGAAGACTGTTTGGACTCAGCAGCCGCAGTGGGAGTTTCGCTGCTTCTATCAAGGCCGCCTTTATCGGGAGCTGGCGACCGATCCGTTCCTTCCATCGACGAAGACGGCCTTGTATCGCAGCCGTCCTTGTCGCATCTTCTGAACCCACAGCCTGACGCTGTTTCGCCAGTGCTCGCCGTCTCCTCCGCGATTAACAGCGAACCTGATTACAGCTTTTTCAGCTTCGGACAGCGGCAGACGTGGCGGTTCGAAGAATGTTTCCCTGACGAAGCAACGGAGGAAGCGGTTGCAAACAGTAATGGCCCATTCTCATTCGACGTTGAGAATGATGATGCCGATGATGAAGATGATCGTGACGATGTAGCGGAAAGCGGCGCGGATTGCCAATCGTGGCGGCTAGACGTCGATCTGACTCTTCAGTGCACAAGGGGCCGCCTCTGGGGATGCTCTGACGTGATTGGTTCAATCGATTTCGATGAGTCGGGTAATTATTTCGCCACTGGTGGCATCTCGCGAAAGATTCGCGTATATTCGCTATCGTCGCTGCGTTCGCTGAAGGAGCGGAAGCTGGAGGGCTGGCGGGAAAGATGGGGCCGACGGAGTTGTGAAATCGGATCAGCAGTGGCGGATTCGGTGGGCGATGCGGAGTTTTGCAACTATGGATTATCTTACGCAGGGTCTCGACGAGGAAAGCGACGCGCTGCGTCGACCAGCGATCTTCGACGGTACGCCGAAGCTTCGGACAGGGACGATGCGGATGAGGAAGAGGCTTGCATACTCGATACAGACCAATCAGCGTCCAAGATTATGTGCTGCGCAGCGAAGTTAAGTTCCGTGATGTGGGTCCCCGGATCTAGTGGCATTATAGGCGCGGGTGACTATGACGGGGTCTTTGC